GGCTACCGCTGGGGATTCACGTCGATGACACACCAATTCCGACGGTGAATAACACCAAAATACTCATAGTAACATTCGACAGCCTGCTCTCCTTCTCTGCGCACTCAACCGCTATTGTCAATAAAGTACAGAGCCGCAACAAGGTCCTCAAGTCGCTAGCCGGCAGTGCTTGGGGCAAAGACAAAGAAACGTTGCTGGCAACATACAAGGCAATAGGCCGGCCGGTTTTGAACTACGCAGCGCCAGTGTGGTCGCCAGGGACTAGTAGGACGCAGTGGACGAAGCTACAGACTGTACAGAACACCGCACTCAGGACAGCGACAGGATGCCTCCTGATGTCGCCTGAACACCACCTGCACGGCGAGGAGCAAATGCTCCCTGTGAAGGAGCATAATATAATGCTCTGCAAGCAGTTCCTGATCGGGAGCCACAGAAGTAGCCACCCAAGCAGACAGCTGCTTGCAGAGGAGCCCTCGCCTTGGCACGTCAGGAGGCATCTATATGAACTGACGGACGATGTCCAGATGTTCATTAAGCAACCTCTGGATCCGACAGCTTACAGACAGGCCCTGAACGGCATTCACAGGGACTCAGTCTCGAGTTATGTAGACTCTAGACTTGTGAATGCCGTTCTAGGCATACCACCCCCGGACATAGACGAGACGGAGCTTCATCTGCCTCGGGAGACACGCACAACACTCGCACAACTTCGCTCCGGCTACTGCAGCAGGTTGAACTCCTACTTGAGTAGGTTGAATGAGGATGTGCCGAATGAGTGTCCGGCATGCGGAGAGACCCCACATGACTCGAAACATCTCTTCGCATGCCCGGAAAACCCGACAACCCTAACGGCCTTGTCCCTGTGGACAAACCCCACAGAAGCTGCACGCTTCCTAGGGTTGCCGTTAGTGGAACTTGACGACAACGACTGAGATACCAACCGTCCTGGGCGGGGTTGTTGTAGCCGCTACAACAACAACAACAAGAAAAGTTAAAAATAAACAAATGTGGTAAAAAAGATAACATAACTTTACCTTTATATCAGTCTACCTTTACCTGTGTTTCAGAAATCTGTGTTGCTGGGGCCAGGGATCGAACCCATGACCTTCGGAGTGATAGGGCGCACCTCTACAGCTGTCATACATAAAATTTTAATTTATGGGAATTCATTTTGTTTATAGCTATTTAAAGTCAATCGTAATCACAACGTATTTCGCATGATACAAATATCATTAGGGGTATTCTCTGAGTCTTGCAAAGCCCTTGCACGGTGCACGGAGTGCACGGTTTGCAAAGCTGTCCCATACGAAAACCGGTTTTTACCGTGCAATCCGTGCAATCTGTGCACCATGCAAGGGCTTTGCAAGACTCAGAGAATACCCCTATTGTATTTCGTACAGATATACTAAAAATACGCAATTATACAAGTTAGTTTAGCATTCCAAGTTTACTTTTTTTTCAAGTATGCATTTTTTGATTTATATATATAATGACAATAAAGTCAAAATTTTACTTATAAAAATGCAATTAAAACTAATTAGTTAGTCACTACTCACTTAAATCTATGTACCTACAATTATGCCTTTACACCATACGCCTCTGGCATACGTTCAATGGCGTATTTGTGCGCTGCCACATACATAATAGGTACGCCTGGAATTTTGCGTACACGATTTTTTAAATCCTTGTCATTGGTCGCCACTATATAGCATTTATGTTGACGCACTCTTTCTACCAAACAGTCATCAGCATATGTGCCTTTATGCAAACATGGTAAACGCTCAAAGCGGGGATCAGATATAATTCGCAGCGCTAATTTATAGCGACTTCCTAATTTTTCCAACTCCGCTCGAACACAATCCGATATATAGGGTATACATTTGGCATATAAACAGTCCATCATGCCTTGGATGATATCCAGTTTGTTTTTAATGCTAAAGTTAATGAAATTTGTATCAAGTATGATGTGATATGGTGGACCCAGCTGTGTATTGTATTGAAAGAAAAGCGCTGAACTTTGCTGTTGAACATGGTGCACTTTAAGAGCGTGTAGATCCTCTGGTTTTTTACGCTTCTTGCGTATTTCTTCCTTGAGGCGGCTGTCAGTGGGTTTCATCAATCGCTTCAGTTTCGCTGTACGTTGTTTTTGTATTTTTCGAGTTTTCTTTTGTTTGCCCTGAAATAGCAATAACAACGAAATTATACATTTATTTAATCTTAATAATACATGACAACAAACCATTGCTAATTATTTATTGAGAAAAAATCACAGTATAGACCACAGTATAGACAGTAACCAACCTTTCTGGGTTGTTGTTGTAGTAGTCGTTGTTGTTGTAGTTATATTCACTCCTGAGGAAGGCACGGGGTTGTGTGCTGCTATTTAATGGCCTTCCTCAGACTTTTTCTTAGATTTCAGGGTTGTGTGCTGTATTATTATTAGATAAATAAATTTAAGTATTTGTCAAATCGTGATT